CCCTTCCCACAATGGTGAGATTTCCCCCAGTAGTTTGTGTCTCGGCCCCTCCCACAATGGTGAGATTTCCCCCTGTAGTTTGTGTCTCTGCCCCTCCCACAATGGTGACATTTCCTCCCAGTAATTTGTGTCTCTGCCCCTCCCACAATGGTGACATTTCCTCCCAGTAGTTTGTGTCTTTGCCCCTCCCACAATGGTGAGATTTCCCCCAGTAGTTTGTGTCTCTGCTCCTCCCACAATGGTAAGATTTCCCCCAGTAGTTTGTGTCTCTGCTCCTCCCACAATGGTAAGATTTCCCCCAGTAGTTTGTGTCTCTGCTTCTCCCACAATGGTAAGATTTTCCCCAGTAGTTTGTGTCTCTGCCCCTCCCACAATGGTGAGATTTCCCCGCAGTAGATTGTGTCTCTGCCCCTCCCCTGGGATTTACTGTTTGTCCATATTTTCTTGAAGCTTTCCCCATATTTAAAAAAAAAGTATTTTCTAGAGGATGTTCCCCTTTTCCAGAGGCAGTCTTCATCTTCTGGAGCCTGTCCCTATTGTCCAGAGTCTGTCCCTTGGTTCCAGAAGACATCTCCATTTTCTAGAACGTCCTGCTTTCTCACTTTGCTAGAAGCAGCACCTCCTGATGTCAGTCCCTTCTTCCTGTTTCCATAGACAGCCCAAGTCATACTAACTCTGTATAGTCTCCCATCACAGTTCATGTCAGGAGCTGTGGTTAGGAATGAGGTGAAATCCACAAATGGTGCAGAAGTTCTCAACTCACAACAAGACTTCTATGGGCCACTTGCCTGCCTTGGCTTCTGCACTTCACACTATTCCCTCAAGAAGGCAGACCACTCGAACAAGCCGATAACAGGTGTCTTGAAGCATGGGGTCTCAACCATAGGGTATCTTCAGCCATGGAGCTTTACCTGTATCGTGTCTTCAACAGTGAGGGCTCAACTGTTGGGTGTCTTCAACTGCAGAATTTGAACAATAGGATGTCTTCAACCATGGAGTCTCAACTGTAGGGTGTCTTCAACAGTGAGGGCTCAACCATAGGGTGTCTTCAACCATGGGGTCTCAACTGTTGGGTGCCTTCAGACGCAGGGTCTCAACTGTAGGGTAGCTTCAACCGTGGGGTCTCAACTGTTAGGTGCCTTCAACCACAGAGTTTCAACTGTAGGGTGCCTTCAACCGTAGGTTTCCACCCTACGGTGACTTCTTCTGCATGGTTTTAACCATTAAGTGTCTTCAACCACATGGTCTCAAAAGTAGGGTATCCTCAACTGTAGGGTCTCAACCGTTGCATGCCTTCAACCGCAGGGTTTCAACTGTAGGGTGACTTTTTCTGCAAGGTCTTAACCATTGAGTGTCTTCAACCACATGGTCTCAAAAGTAGGGTACCCTCAAATGTGGGGTCTCAACCGTTGCATGCCTTCAACCGCAAGGTTTCACCCGTAGGATGACTTCATCTGCAGGGTTTTAACCATTGGGTGCCTTGAATGGCAAGGTCTCAACCATAGGGTGTCTTCAACAGCAGGGCCTCAACCATAGGGTGTCTATATCTGCAGGGTCTTAACCATTGAGTGTCTTCAACCGCATGGTCTCAAAAGTAGGGTACCCTCAACTGTGGGGTCTCAAACATTGCATGCCTTCAACTGCAGGGTTTCAACTGTAGGGTGACTTTGCAGGGTCTTAACCATTGAGTGTCTTCAACTGCATGGTCTCACAAGTAGGGTATCCTCAACTGTGGGGTCTCAACCGTTGCTTGCCTTCAGTCGCAGGGTTTCAACCATAGGGTGTCTTCAACTGCAGGGTCTCAACCATTGTGTGCCTTGAACGCAGGGTCTCCACCATAGGGTGTCTTCAACCATGGGGTGCAAACAAGGTCACTGCCATCTTCCACCTAAACTAGCTCTTTTGCAGCTGCCATTTTTTAGTCCAAAAAAGATAAAAGGCGCGCGGACCCAAGAAGACGTGGCAGTGTGCGTCCGTCAGCAATAAGCACAGTAGAAAGGCATCATGGCACACTCACAAACCAGCATGTAAAACAACTTGTCTCACCACTAAGGACAATGACAGAGGTTTGGATACACGTCTTCTGCAAAGGATGTGTAAGCCGCACTGCCGCGCCAAGGCACCTCTTATAGTGCGGTCCTAACTCTAAACTATGAGAGTCTCCATCTTGGAGCACATGGGGGCAGAAGATATCAAATTGGGTGCAGGCCTGTCAGGAGGACGCCCCACCTCCTTAAAGGTACAGAGACACACAAGGGATCCCGCACATCCCATTGGCAGCTGAGAAACCCCATGCGTCGCTGCACCAAATCGGTAAAGCAAAACAAACGACAAACGCACTCAACAATTTGTTACGAGTTATACAGTAAGGTGCACACGAAATGGGCTTTGAACAGTGGTACAGTAGTAAGCAGACGCACAATTACACGCGGTCAATACGGCGCCCCCCCCGGTTGAAGCGCCGAATCACAATACGATATATTATTAGAAACACAGAACAGGCCCCAACTCACCCGGCAGACGCAGGCGGAGGACGAGAGGGGCCGAGGAGAGCCTCGCGCCTCAATTAGAAATCAGCGCACACCTGAAGGATTCGCCGAACACGACGGAGGCGCGCGGATCGATAGCCGGTGTCTGCTGGAGCGTCAACGTCTCATTACGCCGCTTTACTTACAGCGAAATGGATTTTAGCAGCAAACAAATTACAAGGCGCTCTTAACAAATTACAGGTAAACAAAAGCCGGGCCTCGATCCGACGCGCCATTGTCAGGGCCAGACAGGGCGAACGCCGGTTATCAGTGACATCGGAGGAGAGCGCCGGGGCCGGCGTGCTGGTCGGAGATAAACTTTTCATCTGTCACCCGCCGGAGGGGGAGAAGAAAAAAAAAAGGCTTTTTTAATTAAAAAGGTCTCATCGGCCTCGCAGGAAACGCGGGTTGAACTGGGAATAAAACCAATGTTGGCTGAGAGCGATCGGAAGAGGACGCGCGAGGCGGGTAAACTGCCGTATCGTTGTGTCTGTGAAACATATCAATAAAGAGAACCTGTCCCGGGACAAACACAGCATGGCAATGGTGGTCACCTATCTGGCATACTGGTCTTCTGGCTTCAATGCCTGCTAAGTCATTCAATTAGAGGTGGTGCCTGGTGGGCACCTGACTGCTCTGTTCCCGCCCACCTTGTGGGTTCCCAGCTCCTCCCACATTGCAAGACAGATAAGAATCCCTGAAAGATCCAATGAAATAAATCATTTTCAGCTTCATGATTGGTCCAAGCAAATCACAGGCGCGGCAATCGTCGGACATTTGGGGTCATGTCCGGTTTGAGTGCGGGGTGCGAAAATGTGAAAAAAATTATTTCACTTAAGAACGCGTCTTCTAAGCGGCCGGCTTCCAGCGCGGAATACCGTCCAATTGAAGGGACTATCGGATCAGGTTGTGCCGCGAGTGGATATCTCGTGTAGTATTGGCCGACTGTGTTGGACCCCAGCATCAGGGATAGACTGAAGCAGATCAACCCCTGACTACATGAAGTAGGCTGCCACTGCGCCGATGGGGGGCACCGAGCTCTGGGAAGCATAGAGCATTCGCCATCCTTCCCGTTGACGCCATTCACAGCCAAATGCCGCCTGGCACACGTGAAATGAGCCCTAATTCCCGGACGTTGCCTCCTCGCCTCTCTATCCCGTCTTAAGCGCCATCCATTCTTCCCGGGAACAATGAGCCTTTTCCTGGCAAGCGACCGACGCTGATAAATCCCCCGATTGGCCGCGGCGCGGTTTATCTGGGTGTTTACGGGGATTATCCGGTTAAGAATAGCAGCGATTTCAAAGCACTCTTTGTTTCGCAGGCTGCCGGCGGGGGGCATTTTTTGGGGGATGGGGGGGTTGGGACACGACGGATGCTGCAACATGACAGCCATTGTAACGATATCGCCGGGGTTTGGCGGCATCTCCGGGGAACATTCCGCTGATCCCGCGGTTCTCCATCAAGGCTTGCGACGCGCTGCCAACCGATGAGCGATGATATATGTCAGGGCGTCAGGCGGGAAAATGTGACAGCGCCGCACGAAGCGCCGCCAGGTAGCGTGTTAGGGGTTAAACGGGTAATTAAAGCTTCGCAAACAACGTCTGGGAGAAGAAAAAAAAATGAGCGTCCTGAAAAGAATGCCCCGGAATGGCGATTAGCGGAGCCAAGCGGCGATTAATCACGCGTAATAATGGCGTTAACGGTAATTAGCCGTAAATAACTCTGACAAGAGGTTTGTTTCACAGTCATGGGGGTCGGAGAAAGCGTTTCTGATGGAGCGTTACAACGCTTCAGGAAAAGTCGACGGAAAAGTGAAAAAGGAGGAATTTGGTTTCGTGTGCCGCGATGCCGGCGGAAATCCGGTTTCCGAAAAAATCAGCCGCGAAATCTGTTCCTTTCGATTGGCTGCCCATTGCGGGAAGTTTTACGATTCGATTTGTCCTATTACGCGTGTGGCCCACACGGCGGTACGGCGCACGATTTCTCACTCGGTCGCCTTGCGGCGTTTTTCACTAACCAGAAGCCCTGGAAAGGCCGGATGGAGAGTATTCGACAAGATATTCCCTCCATCCTTTCCGCGCTGACTCAGCACCAGCCGAGCCGGCAATGAGGTCAATGGCTTCACACCGGCTAATAGATGGGGCCCCGGGGGGCGGTTCAGCTACGCGGCGTAACGGGCGGCCGGGGACCCGATTCATGTTTAGCGCAGGCCCTTACCATGTGTTTATGGACGCACCATAAGGAGAAGCGCTCCCCGGCCAGCCATAAAACCTCCGCCACGCACTCCATCTTCTCTAACACGCCGTGCCGCCATCAACGTCCACAAACTGCGCGTACAAAAAAAGGAAGATTCCATCTGTGTTCATCAAATGATACTTTTATTTCTTCAAAACCGCACTGCGGACGCCCGCACACCGGCTGAGATCAGAGATCGGGCTGACGAGGAGGCGGAGAAGCCTGTAGTGTTCTCTGACGGTGTCATGTTTCAGGCACTGAGCGAGAGAGGTGTAGGATTCAGGTGTATACCAGAGGCTCATCGGCGGCGGTCACGGTCATCTTCCCGCCGTCCTCGCCTCCCCCGGCGCAGAAAAGCCGAAGAAACAAAAATGTAAATTGATAAAATCCGTCATAAAGAAGTTTTCTTCTCCGGCAGAATGGATCCCATCGATTTTGGGAACGGCGGTGCGCTGGGAGGAGGCCGCCGCCTGCGCTGCGTCCGCCGGGTGAGAGCGCGAATGCAGCTGCACTTAACTGAATAGGAATTGATTGAAGTTCCCGATTTCATAGTTGCCCCATTTTACCCCTCCCCCGCCATAATCTCTATATTACCCTCCATAGCTGCCCCATTTTACCCCTCCCCCGCCATAATCTCTATATTACCC